TGCATGCCCTGGCCCGGCTCTCCGAGATTGACGTCTCCACCGAGGGGGTGAAAGGTGCCAAGAACTTCTTTGAGGCCAAGGTAGGGCACAGTCAAGGCCAGGTTGAGCTTTGAGCAGCCGGGGCTGGTGGGGAGGTGTCCCTCCCCATGGCAGGGGAGTTGGACTGGGTGAACTCTTAGGTCGCCTGCAACCAAAGCTTTTTTAGGATTTTACAACTGCTGGGGCAGAAGAGGTCCCAACGCAGGGCAGATGCGGGGTGTCTGGAGCTCTGTGCAGACGTGTGGCTGTGTCTGCAGGTGCAGGCCATCCATGAGTCCAGCCGCTTTGAGGAGGAGATCAAGGCGGAGCAGGAGGAGAAGAAGAAGCAGGCAGAGGAGCTGAAGCAGAGGAAGGCAGCGTTCAAGGAGCTGCAGTCCACCTTCACGCAGTGACGAGGCGCGGGGCCAGGAAGGACTGGTCTGCAGCACGGGCCACGTGCCATGTGCTGGGAGCGATGGCCCAGCTGCACGTCACCGCTGAGTCCCCAAAGGCTGGGCCACTGGTGGGCTCCTGGTGCGGGCTCAGCACAGAGCCCCGGTGGCCCTGATCCCCCTCCCCCTGCTGTGGTGTCCATAGGTGTTGTTTGTGTCACCCCTGCCAAGCTGCTCCTGTCCCAAGGGGCAGCATCACCCGGTCCCCTGGCCGCAGCCGTGTCCCAGGACAGTTGTCCCCGGGGTGTGCCTGTCCCCAGGGTGTCACCCCTTGTGCATGTGCCGTGAGGTTTAGGGGACGGGGATCTGTCCAGGTGTTGCGATGGCTGTGCTGGCTTGGTGCCTGTTGGCATTGCCGCGTGTTGCCAGAGATCACGGCCTCCCCTTGTCCCCGATGCCATGAGTCACCTGCGAGCGTGGTGAGCCCCACGCCATGGTGCCAGTGTCAGCCGTGTGTGTCTGTGTGTGTGGAGGTGGGAGCTGGAGCTACATCCGCCTGCCCTGTCTCTGTTTTTTGGGTAAAAGTTGTATGGAAAGGCAGCTGCCGGCTCACAGAGCTGTATTTTATTTTTTTTCTGTGTTGTGCTTTGTCTGGGAGGGTGAGTGCTGTAGCCACGAGCGTTTCCGTCAGTTGAGTGTGGCTCCGGTGTCTGTGGGTGGCTGTGAAGAGGTGCGTCCGTCCCACAGTGTCCCCTGACTGTTGAGGGGTGTGTGTCTTGTTTTTTTATTTTATTCCCAAATAAATATAATTATATTTCGTAACCGCGCTGGATGTCTGTGCAAGGGGCGAGCCGCGGAGGTGCCAGGACAGCAGCATGGGAAGGAACAGGGTCTGGTCCAGGTGCAGTGTTATCAGAGGGGGTTGGCCTTGCTGCTGGGGGCTGCCCCCCTGTCCCACCCCACTCTGCAGCACTGTGGGTGCCCATGGGGTTTTGGCTGGTCTAGGCCATATGGAGGTGAGATAAGGGGACCTTGGCCCTGCAGTGGTTTGGGCAGATGTGGTCATTCCCAGGCAGGACAGGAAGGGCAATAAGATGGGGCTGTGGGGCTGGGGAGCTCTGTCCCCCCCC